ATATAACACTATGGGGGATAAGCGTTTTATAGTTGATCAGGAACACCATATGTGCAAAGTATTGTTCTGAAATTCGAATTTGGTGTTGGATTACGGTACTCATACCTTAAATTAGACTTTATCTTTCTCCACGAAGAATGGATGAGTTTTTATGTAGGCATTTTCAAAACACGTCACTTTGACTTCAAACGTAAGTTAATTGGACTTTAGCGTTCTCAACGAAGAATGGATGTATTTTTATTAGGCATTTTCAAAACACGTTACCTTGCCTTAAAAATATAACTTTATTGGACTTTAACTTTCTCCAAGAAAAATGGATGAATTTTTATGTAGACATCTTTGAAACACGTTACTTTGTCATAAAAATGTAACTTTATTGAACTATAACTTTTCTCCACGGAAAATGGATGAATTTTTATGTAGGCATTTTCAAAACGTTACTTTGCCTTAAAAACGTAACTTTATTGGATTTTAACTTTTCTCCACGAAGAATGAAGGGATTTTTATGTAGGCATTTTAAAAACATGTTACTTTGCCTTAAAACGTAACTTTATTGGCCTTTAACTTTTCTCCACGAAGAATGAATGCATTTTTATGTCGGCATTTTCAAAACACGTTACTTTGCTTTAGATACGTAACTTTATTGGACTTATCCACGAAGAATGGATGAGTTTTTATGTAGGCATTTTCAATAAAGTTTATGTTCATGTTATTTTAATGTTTATGTTTATGTGATTGAAACGTTGTATAAATAGAACGCAATATTCACACTACATGCATTTAATGTCTAGCGTCGTGAAATTCGAACACGATTAGGAAAGCATTTGGGAAGTAAGATATTTTGAACTGATACCAGACGCTTAACAAGCATTCGATTACAGCAATTTCTCGGCGGTGTTCATTGGTCAATCTCAACAGACCACCTTACGTCTGATCACGTGGTTAGATCCCTTTGAGCCTTCATTATACAAATAAGAACAAAGGAATTTTCGAAGTTGAAAAATGCCGATACGTAAAAAGTGGACAACCTTAGCCACATTGTAAGAAGTGGAAAAACAAAGTATAAGGGAAAAGTACCAGTATGGGACTAAACAAAAGTTATAAACTATAACAAGTGTCTAAAAGCACGCAGTGGTTCCAGACGAAGAAAACGCAAACTACAAAAGTACGAATGGTGATGTCATGCAGCACAACGACAACGGTACGGATATTTTCTATGGTTAGGTTATTCTTTCAAAACAACTTTTGGAACCTGTCCATGTTATTTCCTGGTACAAAATAAAGTATGAAGGCATGTGTTTATTTCCTTGCCTTTTTATGAAAAGTATCCTTGCAATGTCTTTTTTAGTAAACCTGGTAGTCTTTTTAATAAACCTGGTAGCAGGTAATTGGTAACTCCATGAAATGCTGAAATCGAAATATTAAGAAAAATCATTCAGAATGGCCACCCTTTCAATTTTCCAAATTTCTACTCCAAGTTTCTCAATAACACTGGATTTCCATTGACCACTAGGTTTACTAAGAGAAATTTAATGCTACTTTCATGGAAAAGCAAGGAAATACACACATGTCTTCATACTTTATTTTCCAGAAAATAGCATGGGCAAAAATGTTGTTTGGAAAGAATAACCTTAATTTGTATGGGTATTAGAGAGCCTTTGATATAAGTTATTTCGAATACGTACAAAAAATATACACAAACTTGTACTTGTGTTTTCATTCGTCAGTCCGATTCAAATTTATATATTTATTAGCACTTACAATTCAAAAGATAAGAAATGAGGTGACCATATTGCAACCGTTTCTGAAAAATAGAAACATATGTGCAAGACCTAGCTTTTGTATATTTTAAGGTCTCGGGGTAGGAAATTACCCCTAGAGTCAATTTCACTGTTAAGGTGCGATGGAAGTTAACAGGAAATGACAAAACAGGAAGTGACAAATATTTTTGCATTTTTAGACATTTTTTGAACAAAGATAACAGAGTTCTGGTTTGACCTCCAGTCAATTTAACTATTTCCACATATCATTTACATCACCAGGATCCCAATGTGCATGGTCAGAATGACCCTAAACATAATGAAATAACCTTTTTAGCCCTTTGAAAGTGTGACTGAAAAAAAGCTTAAAGTAGGAGCTAGGGAAGGTCACTGAACAGAATCTTTTGATTTGCCCAATATAATGCTCTAACTGATACAATCTTTGAAATTTTAGAAAATTGTCTTAAACAAAAATGGCGGTCATAAAAAGGAAAATAAATCTCTTTTCTAATCAGTTTTTTCATATTTCTTCTTTTTCTATGAATGATATCAAATTTTCAAAGATTGTATCCTTTAGAGCAATAAATTGGGCACATTTTCTGAAAAATTCGAAAGATTCTGTTCAGTGACCTTTCCTATCTCCTTCTTTTAGCTATTTTTCAGTCACATTTTCAGAGGGCTGAAAAGGTTATTTCAATATGTTTATGGTCATTCTGACCATAAACATTGTGATCCTGGACCTGTAAATGGTATTTGGAACTAGAGTCCATTTCACTGCTTCATTTCGTCAGTAGAACGGCAAAAATAAGAAATTGGGAGACCATTGTGCAATAAAATATGGAAAAGTATATTCATAATGTACATGAATGACATTTGTATATCTTGGATTGCTTCTAGTTTGGCTTATAAAGTGTGTGGCCTCTTATATTTGGATGTTTCTCTGCCATGTTATTTTCAATAAGATTAACATGGCTGAAACTCTTCAAATTACAAGACGGCACAGGCTTATTGCACAAAAAACTAAAAAATCTGAAATAAACAAATGTCATTCATGTACATTATGAATATACTTTTCCATATATTATTGCACAATGGTCTCCCAATTTCTTATTTTTGCCGTTCTACTGACGAAATGAAGCAGTGAAATGGACTCTAGTTGAATTGACTGGATGTCAAAACAGAACTTTGTTATCTTTGTTCAAAAAATGTCTAAAAATGCCCAAAAATTGTCACTTCCTGTTTTGTCATTTCCTGTTAACTTCCATAGCATCTTAAATTGCGTCAGTAAAACCTAAAAAATAAGAAATCAAAATATCATTATGCAAAAGTAAGTGCTCATGAAAGGTCACTGAACAGATTCTTTCAGAAAATGTATCCAATATATTGCTCTAAATGAAACAATCTTTGTATTTTAAAAAAAAATGTCTGAAACAATAATGGCTGTAATAAAAAGGAAAATACAGTACCAAGTTGCATCCTTGTATTTTTCATTTTCTTATCTTTTATCTTTCAGGTACAACTACGAGAGAGATGCAGCGAACACACCAAGTAAGGGCGACAGCTGGATCAGTCTTTCGACAACTTTGAGTCATCAGGTCCGGTCCACGTAAACAGTATCATGGGCGAGAGGTAAGTAAGTACTTTTTTCTATTCAATTATTACATCAGTTTAGTTCCTCTGTTTTCAGGTTCCCTTTCAGCTTGGAGATGATCGGAGGAGCCCGATGACCAACGACACAACCGAGACAACAGCTGCGTTCCTGCTACCTAAGTTAAGTATTCCTTCCTGGTTTTGCATAGGGATGGGGGGGGGGGCGCCTCCCAGTTTGATATTTACTTGTGGACTTTTGTTGGCCAACCCATATTTTTGGTGGAGAAACTTGGACTCTTAGGTAAAGTGGGAGGGGGGTGGTTGGGTTTCCGGGGGGATAGAGTTCATGTTTCAAAATCAAAAATGTGGAATTCTACTGGTTTATATCAAATTGGGAGAAATAAATTTTATCTTTTGTAATATTCTGTAAATTTTTAGTAGTGTAGTGTAAAGTATAATGTAAAGTTTTATTTAAAGTTTTTATGTAAAGTTTTATGTAAAATAACAACTACTACAACATGTTTTATCTATTTGTAGCACAGATGGTGAAGTCCCTGCGAAAAGACGGTCCTGTTGGAATCACATTTTTTCCACGAGGGGACTAGGTCAAGTTTCCAGGACTTCCCGTAGATGTTGCTTTTGACCAGTTTTTATCTCTTGCAATCAGTTGCATCCCATTAGCAGGGGGGGACTCCCAGTACTATTCCAGTTTTCCTGCGGAAAGACAGTCCTGTTGAAATCACATTTGTCTCCATTAGGGGACTAGGTTGAGTTTCAAGGACTTACAGTAGATGTCGCTTTTGACCAGATTTTATCTCTTGCAATCAGTTGCATCCCATTAGCAGGGGGCTGCTCTCAGTACTATTCCAGTTTTTCTTGAAAAAAGAACGTTTTAAGAACTTACCGGACATCCAATCGACCAACCAATGACCCAATAGGCTTAATCTATTAACTAACTTACTTACTAACCAACCAACTAACCAACCAGACAACCACCAGACCACCCAATAGCTTAAAACTAACCAACCAACTAACTAATTAATCAACCAACACTCCATCCAACGAACCAAACAACCAACAAACCAAACAAGCAACAAACCAGACAAGCAACGAACAAGATGACCAAGATCATGGATCTAGTGCTTAGTATTGTATTGTATTGTATTGTATTGTATTGTATTGTATTGTATAGTTTTGTATTGTATTGTATTTCGTTGACCAGTACTCACTCAGTAATGATTCAATTTTAAGGTTGACTTCAAGTACTACTCCAGATCTAAATTTTGAAGGTCTGAAGTCTTGTGTTCATTTTAGCTACAGTTGTAGATTGAAGGGTCTTTTCCTTTGGGTTTTCATGTTAAAATTGTGGGCTTAGTTTCGGGGTTTTCTTTCTTTTTAATTGAACCATCGCTGATCTTTTCCTTAAATGTACTTTCAGGTGCAGTCCTCTTGCCTTGGAGAGAACAAAAAGAACAACAAAGGGAAAACCACAGAGAATCTACAATTTGTGCTACCTATCTGCAGCATTTGTATCTACATACCTCTTGCCTTGGAGAGAACAAAAAGAAATACAAAAGGAAAACCACAGAGAATGGCCAAACTGCCCTAATTCATGTCACCATACTAGTCAATGGGCAAAAGGGCAAACGCCTGACTTTTTATCTCGAGTTATGGATTTACGTGGCCTCACTGGCCTATCTGAGGCTCTAAACCTATGTCTAAGCTACATTTTGACACTAAACTCAATAGGGGCCAATCATCTACTTTTTGAAATAATTGGTCAATTGTGACACTACCCCCTCTCTCTGCCGACAGTAATTGAAATTCATAAAAATGAAGGCAAAATTAATACGCCACTTGATTCGAAATTTTCCTTCAGATAACCCAAATAAACGCATTTTCAGAAGAAATGGCATGTTGTCATTGCAAAAAGATGACAACTGTGCCTACATACTAGCTTACTGACTCGTCATGATCACAATTGTGTTGGGACTACATTCACTTTTGAAAACTACTTTTTTCAGCGGAAGTGACGTATTAGGGCATTTGGGCCAATCTGCAATTTGTCGAACTCCCGTGCACTGATATATCACTGCGGCGGGCAGGTATCTCACCGTAAGCATGGTAACATCGTAATAAACAACTGACGTGATTGGTTCTAGTCCCATGCTCATGTCGCGTGATAGTAAAATTTAGACAATTTCATTGGTTGAATTGCGCGTATTAACTAATAAACAACACGTGCGGTAAACTTTTATCAACACAACTTTTACTCAGAATTCCTTCCGCGGGGATTTGCTCTTATATTTCATTGATTTTGGAATATTTTGACAAAATAATTATTGGTGAACATAAAAGACCATATATTTTATAAGTTGTGTGAAAAACAAGTACATCTGTGACAAAAAGGGGGACTATCTTCCCCAAATTTTGGGGATTCCATAATCTGCCCGCCGCAGTGTCTATACCGAGACACTGCATAGGAGTTCGGCAATTTGTGCTACCTATCTTCAGTATTTATATCTACATACCATCTTGTTAAAGGTACTGTAACACATAATCAGTTCTATCATTTGATGATTTTGCTCTCTGGTTCAGTACGGTTATTCCACAACGTCACATTTTTCAATTGTTGGGATTCTAATCCCATTGTTGGCACATGTATGTTTGGCAAACATTTTTTCTAAGAAATACGCTAAATTATGACTGCCTTGATTTCACTTAATGTACAGATGTACCATGAAGCCATGTTTCATTATTTTCACATGTGGTCTGTGTTCTTAAAGAATATACATATGCTCAACTATTCCATTCTTCCTACAGAGTTACATCTGCCCAAGCAGTTAGCGACAGCTGGATCAGTCTTTCGACAACTTTGAGCCATCAGATCCGGTCCACGTAAACAGTATCATGGGCGAGAGGTGTTCGTGTTCCTGTCACCAAAGCACCAAAGTAAGTACTTTTTTCTATTCAATTATTACATCAGTTTAGTTCCTCTGTTTTCAGGTTACCTTTCAGCTTGGAGATGATCGGAGGAGCCCGATGACCAACGACACAACCGAGACAACAGCTGCGTTCCTGCTACCTAAGTTAAGTATTCCTTCCTGGTTTTGCATAGGGATGGGGGGCGCCTCCCAGTTTGATATTGACTTGTGGACTTTTGTTGGCCAACCCATATTTTTGGTGGAGAAACTTGGACTCTAAGGTAAAGTGGGAGGGGAGTGGTTGGGTTTCCGGGGGGATAGAGTTCATGTTTCAAAATTAAAAATATGGAAGTCTACTGGTTTATATCAAATTGGGAGAAATAAATTTTATCTTTTGTAATATTCTGTAAATTTTTAGTAGTGTAGTGTAGTAGTATAATGTAAAGTTTTATTTCAAGTTTTTATGTAAAGTTTTATGTAAAATAACAACTACTACAACATGTTTTATCTATTTGTAGCACAGATGGTGAAGTCCCTGCAAAAAGACGGTCCTGTTGGAATCACATTTTTTCCACGAGGGGACTAGTTCAAGTTTCCAGGACTTACCGTAGATGTCGCTTTTGACCAGTTTTTTTTATCTTGCAATCAGTTGCATCCCATTAGCGGGGGGGGGGGGGACTCCCAGTACTATTCCAGTTTTCCTGCGGAAAGACAGTCCTGTTGAAATCACATTTGTCTCCATTAGGGGACTAGGTTGAGTTTCAAGGACTTACCGTAGATGTCGCTTTTGACCAGATTTTATCTCTTGCAATCAGTTGCATCCCATTAGCAGGGGGCTGCTCCCAGTACTATTCCAGTTTTCTTGGGGGGGGGAGGGTGTCAAACAACCAGACAACCAACCAACCAACCAACCAACCAACTTACCGGACATCCAACCGACCAACCAATGACCCAATAGGCTTAATCTATTAACTAACTTACTTACTAACCAACCAACTAACCAACCAGACAACCACCAGACCACCCAATAGGTTAAAACTAACCAACCAACTAACTAATTAATCAACCAACTAACCATCACTCCATCCAACGAACCAAACAACAAACAAACTAGACAAGCAACGAACCAGACAAGCAACGAACCAGACAAGCAACGAACCAGATGACCAAGATCATGGATCTAGTGCTTAGTATTGTATTGTATTGTATTGTATTGTATAGTTTTGTATTGTTTTGTATTGTATTGTATTTCGCTGACCAATACTTACTCAGTAATGATTCAATTTTAAAGTTGACTTCAAGTACTACTCCAGATCTAAATTTTGAAGGTCTGAAGTCTTGTGTTCATTTTAGCTACAGTTGTAGATTGAAGGGTCTTTACTTTTGGGTTTTCATGTTAAAATTGTGGGCTTAGTTTCGGGTTTTCTTTCCTTTTAATTGAACCATCGCTGATCCTTTCCTTTAATGTACTTTCAGGTGCAGTCTTCTTGCCTTGGAGAGAATAAAAAGAACCACAAAGGGAAAACCACAGAGAATCAACAATTTGTGCTACCTATCTGCAGCATTTGTATCTACATACCTCTTGCCTTGGAGAGAACAAAAAGAACCACTAAAGGAAAACCACAGAGAATCTACAATTTGTGCTACCTATCTGCAGCATATATATCTACATACCATCTTGTTAAAGGTACTGTAACACATAATCAGTTCTATCATTTGATGATTTTGCTCTCTGGATCAGTACAGTTATTCCACAACGACACATTTTTCAATTGTTGGGATTTTAATCCCATTGTTGGCACATGTATGTTTGGTAAACATTTTTTCTAAGAAATACACTAAATGATGACTGCCTTGATTTCACTTAATTTACAAATGTACCATGAAGCCAGGTTTCATTTTTTACATGTGATCTGTCATGCTTGGCTGAATAATCATTCCTACTGCACATTGGGCACTAGGATTCAGTAGCAAATAGAAGTGGAAGTGTAAACCTCTCCTAATAGTACTCGCCAATAATTCCAAATAGGTCTTACTTGAGCTTTAATATCTTGTTTAAGAACCCCTATTCTAATTATTGAAAATGGATCATCCCCATGTTAAGTCAATGGTGCCCTTGCTGAAATTCTCATTTTCCCAGAAGAACTTAAGTTGATCGAGTATAAACAAGTAGATTCACGTGGAAGAGAATTGCTAGAATCCATTTTCAATAGTAATAGGGGTTTTTAAATAGGACATTGGGCTTGCTTCTTTAGTTATGTTGGTGTTATTGGATAAATTAGCCCTATACATGTTATAAATCGCAAAACCATGAACTATCGTGAAAAGAAATAATGTCTAACATCCCCTTCTCCCTCACCCCTTCAATCGAGAACCAACATCACAATTCAGTACCAAAACACCAAGGGGCATTTAATGTTCATTTATACAAAAGTCATTTTACATATTGAAGAACGAATTGAAAATATCTCCTAAGATCAAAAACAATTGTAGATACTAGTAGTCATAAAAGATGGAGCATTCAAAAATTAAATCATTACTAATTGTTTTCCTTTTTATTTTCAGGCTCGCACCTCTTACATTGGACTTGAGAGCATTTGTGCTACATGTCTGCAGCATCTATATTATATACTATCTTGTCATGCACTGCTTCAATTGACAAAAAGATGATCGTGTGCATGCAGACTATCTAGTCTATAAAATTTAATTTGTATCAATATTCGACATGCTAAATCAAATCAATATATCCGGTCAATATATCTTACACATTGACCTCTGTAGCAGACGGCATAAATCATCCATGTGATTTGATAGATAGGATTTGATACATAGGACTTGTTACATCATATTCATGCTTGTTTTGGAATTAAAATGTATTAAACTATATGTGTATTACTTTGTTCATAAATCTTATGCTATAGCCTTCTTGTGTGCTGTTCTTCCTTAATGTTTCGATGTGAATGTAAAAATGCAAAAATTTATGAATATGTGCAAAATCTATATTGATTATTAAATCAAAATGGACACTATATAGATGTATTCCTTAAATCATAGATGAATAAAATGAGTAATTTTAAATCTAGCGTGTTTATTTAAAATCGATTAAATGAGAAATAAATCACATGCCAAACCCACAATCCAATAGTATTTGAAAATGACATGATTGATGAATTTCACTTAAGATTATATTATTGTGAACTCTAGAAATTGTTATCCTTTCTTCAAAAATATGCATAATTGAACCGATGTTGAACAAAATGAGTAATCAGTCATACCAACGCTTGCTTGGAATCCAAGTAATTTTTTAAAATATGTTCTGCAACAAAACACAAGCAGCCTTAAAACGTAAAAATGCCTAAAATCCATTCCGTTATCAATTTTTATCAATTATGGACACTGGCCTATACCAACAAGAACAAAAGTTGTACAGTGTCCAATAAATATGTTCTTCCCCCTCAACTTTAGCATCGGACAAAATGTTGCATAACTTATTTGTCTGTATGATATCTGAATTGTTGTTTAGCACCTAAAAACTTGGCTTCATGGGGCAAGAAGTTTCCGATGACTAGCTCAATGTTGTGCACGTTTATGCACAAACGTCTATGCTCTTGAAATCAAGGGGAACCTATTTATTTGACACCCTGTAGATGTAGCATCCTTGATAGAATATTAGAACTGGTTAATAAACCAAAGTTTGGCAATATTACTTAAAAACCGTCTTTTAACGCACTGGATGTAATGGGATTAATAGAATATGAATTTTATTCCAAGGGAAAATA